CAGTGTCAGGGCAAGGGGCCCTTAGTCATTGCAGCTGGTCCTGGTGTCACCCACCTGGTTTTGCTGCTTTCTGGGTCAGGAGCTGAAATACAACTGAGGCCTAGATGTTTCTAGGAAGGTGACTTTCTGCATCTGCTGTAAATTGATGTCAGTTTGTTCAGCTGTCTGTTTCCCTATTCCACTTGTCCTGGCTTACTGGCTTGTCTCAATATATTATTAATTATATGATGAATCCCCATTTCAGAGATGTTAAAATGTTGGGGTGGGGGGCACTGTGAATGTACTGTCACTGAATTCTTCACTTCAAAATGGATAATTTTATGTAATGTGAATTTTACCTCAATAAATTATTTTTAAAATGTGAATCAATGAAAAAAAAAAAAGACATCTTTGAAAATAATCAGGCACACAAGGGAGGTCCTACCCTCAGAATCTGGGAATAAATAAATAAAAAGTTCAGTCAACAAGTCGGATAGGTGCTCGCTTTGGCAGCACATATACTAAAATTGAAACGATACAGAGAAGATTAGCATGGTTCCTGTGCAAGGGTGACATGCAACTTCATGAAGCATTCTATATTTTTCAGACACTGGTGTCTTGTCAGGGGTGGGAATGGCTGTGTGTGTGTGTGTGTGTGTGTGTGTGTGTGTGTGTGTGAATTGGGGAAAAAGGAGACATATGTAAAACTTTAAAAAAGGAAAAAGAAGTCGGATAGGCCCTAGCCAGTTTGGCTCAGTGGATAAAGCCTCTGCTTGCGGACTGAAGGGTCCCGGGTTCAATTCAGATCAAGGGCACATGCCCTGGTTGTAGGCTCAATCCCCAATAGGGGGCGTACTGGAGGCAGCAGATCAATGATGCTCTCTCGTTATTGATGTTTCTATCTCCCCCTTTCCTTTTCTCTCTGAAATCAATAAAAACATATTTAAAAAATAAAAATACAGACTTTATATTAAAAAAAAAGAAGTCAGACGGCTCTGGGTTTGAGTTTCTGGCAACTTCTTTAACACTGTGCCCCAGTTTGTTCAATTATAATGAAAATATTAATACCTACCTCCTGGGGCTGCTGTGAGGAGCGAGTGACTTAACACACATTGAGCCCTTCACACAGTGACTAGCACACAACAAGGGCACCAATACATAGCAACTAGGAGGCTCATTGTTGCTACCCTGCCTGGCACAGCCCTGCAAGCTCATCTCCTGCTGGGGAGAAGTTGGGTATGGATGCTACAGCTTGATCCTGCTTTGGAAGTCAGGTTGTTGTGACTGACTAGCTCCCTCCTTTATTAACAAAACTAGTCAGAGTTTTCATTTGGACTCTGCTTCCCATTGGCTGAAACTGGTGTTGCCCTGGTAGCACATGTAAACATTCCCTCTTGGAATCCTGGGGAAAAGCTGCTGAGAGACTTTCTGAGGCTTCCCTGGCTACTACTTTTCCATACAAGACTCTGTTCACTCAGGTATTGGGGGTTGTTAAGGGTGGGAGGGCTTCACAAAAAGGACTTGCAGTGGTTCTCCTGATTCATCATACCTTTCATACTCATTCTGCCCACCTCTTAGGGAGAGAAGGGGAGAAAAAGTAATAGGAAAGGCCAGTCACAGGGATGATTAAGAATTGATTGTGCCCACAGATGTATGAAGATAAGGTGTGAACTGCTTCCTGAGCCCTGCTCCCTCTTTTCCTTCTCCTGTTGTAGCACAGGGCTCCCAGGGGAAGTTCTTAAGGAGGTGCTTCTATGGATAAAGCCCCCATCTCACTTGCTTTGTGTTGGGAGTCACACATTTGGCTTTCAGTCACTTCATCCAGAGGCAATTTGCTGAAGCTAGGTCACTGAATGATCAAGTCACCAAGTGGGCCATTTTCTGAAGGACTGAGTTACTGTATGGACTCACCAAAGCCTACTGAATTTACCAGTTTACCCAAAACATTTTATTGTCTTTAATTACGGAATTTACAGCAAATTACTTTGGCCAAACTGGGCTGGGGAGAGCCAGTTCTCCAAGGTTAAGGGTGTTTAGACTTCCTCACTCTTCACCCTTCATTTGGGTCTTCACAGGAGCATTTTAAGCTCTGTGTGCCTAATGCTACAGCGGGGTGGTGGTGGTGGTGGTGGTGGTCGTGGTAAACAGATCCCCAGAACTCTCTGTGAATCTTGGAGGGAGGAGGGCAGTGTAATTAAGAGCAGGGGCTGTGGAGTCGGACAGTCTGGGTGTGAGCTTGGCTTCCTTGTTTCACATGGTAACAAAAATAGGCACACTAAAAGTAGGATAGGTAGGGAAAGGTTAAGGGCATCTTTGGGGATGACAGTGGGGAAACAGGACAAGCACAGTCACCCAGGGCTAGAAATGGTATGGCCATAGGGCTGAGGGGAGAGAATGATTCCCTTACCAGACTGGGAAGTTGTGAGAGAGCTGCCCTGGAGAAGCTGCCTTTTCCATATACCAACTACTGGTGACCCTGTAGGGAGACAGCCCTCTGGGAATTTAAGACCTTCAACCTCACTCTCCTCCATTCAGCCTCATCTCCCCATTGTGTGGAACCTCCTGGAAGATAGAGGTCCTGGGAGAGCCCATTGATGTAGTCCATCCAAGCCAGCCTTCCAGGGGAGAGAGCAGGGGAGATGGGAGAGTGGATCTGGAAAGACCAGTGAAAGGTGCATGATCGCACAGGGCTTGTGGTGAGAGTTGAGACCCATAAAACATTCCAAATTGGGAGTTGCTATTTATAGAAAAATAGCTCCCTTTGGAGAGAGATACCCACTTTCCTACAGCACTCCAATGCAAGTACTGCCTGCAAGGGAGAATATTAGCTATCATTTATGATGAACATTTTACTAAAACAGGAGCTGACAAATATTTTTTAACAAGAAAAATTTTAATTACATGTGTATATATGGGAATCCCGCACACACGAGAGTAAAAAATCCAAAATACATGAGAGGTTCCGACAAATATTTTCTTTTAAAAAATATGTTTATTGATTTCAGAGAGGAAGGGAGAGGGAAAGCTAAAAACATCATTGATGAAAGAGAATCATTGATCAGCTGTCTCCTGAACACCCCCCACTGGGGATTGAGCCTGCAACCCGGGCATGTGGTCTGACCAGGAATTGAACTGTAACCTCCTGGTTTATATGTCAATGCCCAACCACTGAGCTATGATGACTGGGAAACAAATACTTTGTTTTCTTTAAAAATATATATTTTTATTGATTTCAGAGAAAAAGGAAGAGGGAGAGATAGAAACATCAATGATGACAGAGAATCAATGATTGGCTGCACTGGGGATCGAGCCCACAACCCAAGCATGTGCCCTTGACTGGAATCAAACGTGGGACCCTTCATTTCGCAGGCTGACGTTCTATCCACCAAGCCAAACTGGCTATAGGGCAACAAATATTTTCTTGATGTGATAAATCTCAAGCCATAAACCAGCATCACACTTACTGGTGTAAGGCCAGAAAGCATGCCTGTTAAAGTCAGACATAAAGGAAGGATTTAAAAAAAAAAGTATATATATATATATATATATATATATATATATATATATATATATATAATTGATTTTTTACAGAGAAGAAGAGAGAGGGATAGAGAGTTAGAAACATCGATGAGAGAGAACCATCGATTAGCTGCCTCTTACACATCCCCTACCGGGGATGTGCCCACAACCAAGGTACATGCCCTTGACTGGAATCAAACCTGGGACCTTTCAGTCTGCAGGCCAATGCTCTATCCACTAATCCAAACCGGTTTTGGCTGGAAGGATTTTTTAAAATTCTTTATTTAAAATATTACATGAGCCCCCCCCCCCCCCAATGACCTCTCCCCAGCCATCCCCTCCCACAAGCCCTCAGCCCCCTACTGTTTGTGTCCATTGGTTTTGCTCATATGCATGCATACAAATACTTCTGTTGATCTCTTACCCCCTCAGACCCCCCCGCCTTCCCTCATAGGTTGTACAGTCTGTTCGATGCTTCTATGGAAGGATGTTTATTTTTTTATTGATTTTTTACAGAGCGGAAGGGAATGGGATAGAGAGTTAGAAAAATCAATGAGAGAGAAACATTGATCAGCTGCCTCATGCACACTCCCTACTGGGCATGTGTCCCCAACCAAGGTACATGGCCTTGACTGGAATCGAACCTGGGTCCCTTGAGTCTGCAGGCCGATGCTCCATTCACTGAACCAAACCGGTCAGGGCAGAAAGACGTTTTTTTTTGTCTCCACTTTCACTTCACATTTTTCTGGAAGTATTTACCAAAGCTAATATATATTTCAGGAAGAAATGAATTTCTGGCAGATGACATTATTGTATACCTGGAAAAGCCAAGAGAAAAACCTGAAAAACCAACCCCTCCTATATTGTATTTTTTCTAATCATTTAAATTTACTTATCTTTTAGTAGTCACAGGCTCTCAGTTGCCTAAAGCAGGGTTTGAGGTTCTATTAAAGACTCAAGTAGAAATCAGTATTGTTAGAAGTTCAAAGAAGTTAAGAATCATTCTACTACTACATCTTAACTCTTCATTATTATGTGAATCTGAAAATCATTGATTTTTAGGAAAAGTACATCTCAGTGGCCAGGCACAAAGAATAAATAGTAAGGCCTCACTTCTTCTTCATTCCTTAATCCCTCCCTAGAGGAAATAATCGTTTTCTGTCTCTTGTGATTCTTTTTTTTTTTAAATAGAGATTCTTTTTTTAAATATATTTTTAATGATTTTGTACAGAAAGGAAGGGAGAGAGATAGAGAGTTAGAAACATTAATGAGAGAGAGTCATCCATTAGCTGCCTCTTGCACACCCCCTACTGAGGATATGCCCGCAACCAAGGTACATGCCCTTGACCGGAATCGAACCCGGGACCCTTCAGTTCCCAAGCCGACGCTCTATCCATTGAGCCAAACCGGTTTTGGCTCTCTTGTGATTCTTCAAGGGATAGTCTGTACTTTACAAATGTGTATGCATGTGCACAAAAAGATAATTTCTTGAGTTTCTTTTTCTAGACAAAAGAAAATGAAGAGGACTAGAAGTATCAGATTTAATAATGTGGTAAATGTGTATAAAGAATTTCCAATACCATTGATTGATAAAGAAGACACTGATGCGATTGAACCAGCAACGGATAATGAAGACAGCGATGTCACTGAACCAGCAAAGGTTGAAGAACACACCGAAGAGACTGAAGAAGCAATGGGTAAAGAAGAGAGCAATGTGACTGAACCAGCAATGGATGAACACACCGATAAGACTGAAGAAGCAATGGATAAAGAAGAGAGCGATGTGACTGAACCAGCAATGGATGAAGAAGTCAGCGATGTCACTGAACCAGCAATGGAAACAGAGAGCAATGAGATTGAACCAGCAATGGAAACAGAGAGCAGTGTAACCGAACAAGCCATGGATACAGATATCAATTTTGTGACTGAACCAGCAATGCATACAGATAGCTATGGGACTGAATCAGCAGCAATAGGCAGAGGCAGCAGTGTGACTGGACCAGCAGTAGTTATAGACAGCAATGCGCTTGAACCAGCAATAGATACAGAAGATGACCATGTGAATGATATAGCACTAGATTTAGCTGAGAATGTCATCGCTGCTGCTCTTAACATTGTGGAAGGTAGTGATCTTGTTTGGTTGCCTAAAGGACTGTCTTGTTATATAATGTCATACTACCAGACAACTAACAAATTCACATATTTTTTTTTTCCAGAAGATGATGAATACACCATCAGAAACATTAACTGGCTCACACATGGTGAATTCACACCAGATAAGTGCCGTAGACAAATCGAAGACTTCGTTAAGGTAAGATAGTTGACCACTCTAGCTTCGTGTACAAAGGTGAAGAACAATAAAAAGTCTCTTCCTTTTAAAAGAATATTTTAATTGATTTTTTTAGAGAGAGAGGGAGAGAGATATAGAAGCATTAACGAGAGAGAAACATCTATCGATAGGCTGGCTCCTGCACTTCCCCTTCAACTCCCCCACTGAGGGACAAGCCAACAACCTGGGCAGGTGTCCTGATCAGGAATCAAAACTGAAAAAAAGGCTCTTCTGTGATGAAAAGTTTAAATTTCAGAATCCCTAGGAGATGATATAAAAAGCAACTAAATGTCATCTGGATCCCAAAATTGACATGCAATAGTCTTTGGAGGTGAAAAGCACAATTGTATTTCCCTGTGCTCCTGTCATCCTAACCTTAAATTTTCCTAGTAAAATCTGATATTCCCAATTAAGCAATTTTCCCATCTGGTACTTTAAATGGGGCCTACTGGTCTAAGGAGGGAGTTGCTTCTCTCAAACAAAAGTTCTCCAACATCAACTTTATTTTTATTTATTTGTTAATCCTCACCTGGGGATATTTTTTTTGATTGATTTTTAGAGAGAGAGAGAGAGAAACATTAGTGTGAGAGAGACATATCAATTGGTTACCTTTCTCACATGCCCTGATTCATCCTGGGGGTTGGGGAAGGGTTGAATCTGCAACCCAGGTATGCCCTTGACCGCCCTTGATTGGGAATCAAACCTGCAACCCTGGCCAGGGCTCCAACACCACCTTTACAATGCTCATATTAACAGAGGGATGTACATGGATCAAAAGTCTTTTAACTGTACCTTTGGAATATATTGCCTATGAATTCCTTTTTCTCTTTCTTTTGTGCCTGGCTCTGACCCATTGATGTGGCTTAACCTGGCAGTTCTGGTGAAAAGGCCCTGGGTTGCTTTGCATAACAGGAGGGTGGATAAAGAATAATGACTTGAAATCCTTACTCACAGTATTTCCTTGGAAAAGAGATCAGTTGAAATTGGTTGAGGCAAAACTCCTAGTCCTGGGAGAAGTTTTTTGCTATCTCTCTTTCTCTGTTCCTAAGCCCTAGACAGCCTTGGTTAGGTGAGAATGAGGAAGGTCAGGGGTTTCTGGCTCCACACCTTTTGTTTATATACCAGTTGGCACAAATCACCATTCCCATTAGAAGGGGTATTTAAAGCATAGTGAAGATGAATGATGCAAAAAAAAGTTACCCTTTGGCCTTCTTGCTCTGAAGCATATCTCCATTTGGGGTTGGGCAAAAGTTTCTGCCTGTTATACCCAAGGTTTGTGAATCAGACTGGAATGGGGCACAAAACAAGCAAGAAAAAATTTCCCTACAAATCTCACTAGTTATCTACACTAATAAAAGAGAAATATGCAAATTGTCCATCACTTTGTGACACCCACCAGCCAATCAGGAGTGAGTATGCAAATTAACCACAGCACTTCTGTGGAAACTGACAGCAGGGAGGAGGCAGCTCCCAGCATGGCCTGCTTGAGAGTCATCGCAGTGTGGAGCAGGCAAGCCCTTCAGAGACAGAGAACCACAGGAAGTGGACCTAAGCCATCAGTAGGATATCCCCTGAGGGCTCCTGGATTGGAGATGATGCAGGTCAGGCTGAGGGATATTCCCCCCCACCCCCCATGCACGAATTTTGTACACCGGGCCTCTAGTTCTGAATAAAAGGCAAAAGTAAGTCCTGATAATGGCCTACAGGGCCTGACATGATCTGAATTCTGATTATGAGACTGATACACTACCTACTGCGCTAACGAGGCACCTATGATCTGAATTCTCTCCTCCTTCCAACTTATTGCTTAGACTCCATCACCTACTACCTTCTCCTTTTTAACCTTCCTTACTCCCGCCACACTTGCTTCCTTGCTGTTCAACTGCCAGGCATTTCTCCACCTCAGAGCCTCTGCCCTTGCTGTTCCCTCTGTCTGGAATAGTCGCCCCTGAGATCTATTCTCAGGCATCATGCCTTACTTCTCTTCAGATCTTTGTTAAGATTCCATTTGCTCAATGAGGCCTTTCCTAGCCATCACATCTAAAATTATACCCACTCTCTTTCTTTGATTTATTTTTTCTACAGCATTTAGCTCTACTTAAGATATTATATTTTACTTATTTACCCTATTGCTTTTCTTCCACCACCAGATCATATGGTCCATGAAGGCAGCGACTTTTATTAATTTATGTTCCCAGCCTCTAGATGTCAGGCACATATAGGTGCTCTATAAATAAATGTTAATTACACGAACAAGTTTGTTCTCTCTATACCATTATTTTTCACAGATGAAGAGCTTACCTACTTTATAGGGCTCTTGTGCAGATAGAAACAATTAGAAAGTAGAAGGTGACTGAAAAGCTATTAATAAAAGCTCTATATAACTCATGATATCAAATCACCTTGTTCCCAGCCCCACTAACGCAGCAAGCCCTAGAAGTGAAGTCTACCATCTAAGTGCCAGACATTCCTGATGGAGAGCTTTCTCAAGCTTAGTTCAGATTTCTCAGAGTTCACCATATACCAAGGGATGGCAAATAAGGAGTTACCATTTCCTGAGCATTGCTATGTGCCAAGCACTGCTAAGCAATTCATGTACATTATCTCATTTAATACTCACAATAAACCTGAATGCAGGTACATGAGTGTACCCATTTTACATATGAGGAATCTTGAGGCTCGGAGAAGTTGGGCAATATGTCCAAAGTCTTTCTGTTTAAGCGGCAAAATGAAGTTTTGGTCATAGGTCTATCTGATGTACTTTTTTTTCACCATAATAGGAAAAGGACTTTTGATGACAAAAAGATACTGCAGAGTTTCATTATTAATGAAAAATGCATATCCAAAAGATTTTAAGGTATTGCAAGGTGGATAAAAATGATTAAAGCTGATGTCAGAAGGCTTGTGTGTTTGTAGGGAGGCAATATGTACGCTTCAACATTGACAATGGGCACAATAATTGGTTTATTCCCTTTAGGAACGTAATCTGGCAACATGAATAGACATGTAAGTTCTCTATAGAAGAAAAACTGGAAGATCTCCAATGCCTAACACACAGTTAAAGTTATTATTTTAATACATTTTATTTTATTTTAGAGAAAGGGAGGGAGAGGGAAACATCAATGGATGAGAGAATCATCTATCGTCTGTCTCCTGCACACCTCTACTCTGGGGATTGAGCCTGCAACCTGGACATGTGCCCTGGACAGGAATAGAACCATGACCTCCTGGTTCATAGGTCAACACTCAACCACTGAGCAAAACCAGTCGGGATAGCCGAGACCGGTTTGGCTCAATGGATAGAGCGTCGGCTTGGGGACTGAAGGGTCCCGGGTTCGATTCTGGTCAAGGGCATGTACCTTAGTTGCAGGCATATCCCCAGTAGGGGGTGTGCAGGAGGCAGCTGATCAATGACTCTCTCTCATCGATGTTTCTAACTCTCTGTCTCTCTCCCTTCTTCTCTGTACAAAATCAATAAAATATATTAAAAAACAAACAAATAAAAAAAAACAGTCGGGATAAAATTATTTTTATAAGAAAAATAAAGCATCATTATAAAAATCCCCAATGAGCAAAAAGCCACACACAAAGTAGAAAATGAAACTTATCCCTTTTCTCCCACTCCAATACCCATTCCTACTCTCTCAAAGGTCACTTACCATTGATTACAATTTTGTGCATATACTTCCAGTGCCTGTTGATTTTGAGTGTCTAATCATGTGTAATGGGCTAAGCTATCATGGTAGAGTAGCACAGTGAGAAACTGTTTCCTGGAAGTGGGTTTATGAAGCAATGTTCTGTAAACATTACAAAACACAAGGATAACACACACTCATTGGATTTACATAAAAATCAGCTGCCTGCACAGTGATAAAAACGGGAAGAGATTGGCCTGATGGTGATAGTTGTATTTAACATGCCCAAGGCTGCCTTAGTTCACAAAAGGGGGGAAAGCACTATCACACCAAGTTGAGAAGACAATATTAGATCTGAGGCTTCTGATGGAGTAGAGAGAAAACTGAGCTGGGTGTTGGGGAGCCCTGAGCCCCCATCCCAGCTGTTGTGTTGGGCTGTCCTTCCCCATTTCTAGGCCCCAATATCCTCATCTGTAAAGTAAGGGACTTCATTAGATGATGTCTAAGGACCATTCCAATGCTACAAAATCTGTGCTTATGTGACAGATTAAACATTAGGGCTGAAAGAATATATCAAATACTATAGAAAGGATGAAAAGGGGGCATGCTTCTATGGGCTTCATGGGATTGACTGTTGAACATTACAAGGAATGATCTCTGTAGGAAGGCACAGTCCTTCATCTCAAGAAATCGAGAGTCTGGTGCTCCTCTCTGGCTGAGTGAAACAGCCAATTGGGTAGAGACTTGGAATAAAGTAAGCTGAAGCGGAAGGCCAGCCTACTGCCATATATATATATATATATATAAAAGCTGGAAATCATTTTACCATTTCCTCCCACAGTCCCTCTGCACATCACATTTATTGTCAGACAATCCCACTTCCTTCCTTTTATGGACCTTCCTCTTAATTCAGGATCTTTTTTTTGATTTGGAAGTTTCCTGTGCCCTGAGAGCTAGCCCAAGGGGCTTAGGTTGAATTGAACTTGTTAAATAGCTATAGCATTCAAGGCCCCGACTAAGAATCAGGGCTGCATTATGACCCCTAGACCCTAGGTACTGGCAAGCTTTGTGCTTTGGTGGGGAAGCTTTTCCAAAGGTATAGGGTTCTAAGGGATTTGGAAGATCCAATTGCCTGACTCATTCCCTTCCTGACTTTATTTTACATACTACCTATGGCTGCAATGATATGAGTCTGATATTCAAAAACAGTTTTGGAAATCAGCCTCATTACTCTCTAGTCACACTTTAGGTCTCCCTGAGTAAAGTGAGCAGATCAATGTTCTAGTCACTTTCTTATTATTTTCCAATGAACAAAACTTGCCTCCCAAATTGAGTCCCAAGTAAGGGTCTAGAAGGAAGTGAGTGTGTACGTATAGGCAGTGTGTATGTACACACCAACATCTGAGCATGTGAATCTACAGTCCAAAGACCCGTCTCAAGTGATTTTTGCATTAGTAACTCATTTCATTTCAGCTCCACCTTTTCTCTCCTCCACTTATGGAGATAATGGGAACTTGACTAGTTTGAATCCCAATCAAAAGTGTTAGAAATGGACTCCAGAAGCAGGGCACTGCCTTTATCTAGAGGCCTTGAACAGAAATCTGCTTGTCTTTCTCTGTGTGCTCTTTTTTTTCTTCTTCTATGAAACAGAATTGGGAGTATCAAGAACGTTGGGTTCACTACACAAAGTTAATAGAGAAAAGAGACCTGGTTCACAGCTTCCACTACATCTACTCTGTACGCTGGAGTGTCCCAACTTCTCAGACACCCACGGCATTCAGCTCTGCCTTTGCCTTCTTCACCGTCAAGTTCAACAAAAATAAACCTCCGGTAAGCTCTTCCCTTTATGCCCTGTTCCCTTTAGTGAGACTTCAATGAAAATGGAGACTTCTCTTGTCAAGGTCATTGATGACCCCTTTTTTGTAAAACTCAATAGTCATATTTCTGTTCTTATCTGCTTGGCCCACCTATAGCACTTGCCATAGCTGATCACTCCCTCTTTCATGAAACAAACATTCCATTTGGCTTCTAGACCAACATACTCTTCTGATTTTGAGGCATTTGATCACTGAAATGAGTGACTAATGACTAATGCCTCACTGACCATTCCTTTTCAGTCTCTACCAGTTTCTTCTCTCACCAACCTCTTCATATTGGAATGTCCCAAAACTTAGGCCTTGGATTTCTTTTCTATACTCACTGCCTTGATGATCTTATCAGTCATCTGGCTTTAAATGGGTCACCTCTAGCTTATGATTACCAAATTTATGTCTCCACCCCAGACCTCTGCCAGTTAAATGTTGAAGAAACATCTTACTGAATGTAACCAGAACTGAACTTACAATTTTTCCTTCCAAACCTTATCTGCAGTTTTCCTCATCTCAGTTGATGCCAAAATCCTTGGCATCATCTTTGACTATCTCAGACCCCTTATCCAATCCATTAGGAAATTGTTGGCCCTACCTTCAAAAACAGGTATTTTTGTTGTTGTTCTTTAAACTTCCCCAACATTTAATTATCACAACTGCTACAAAGTCGACTAGGCTGCCAACAATGTACTGTCTCTTTAAGCGGTTTCCTGGGGCCAGTTCAGTTTACAAAGAAATCCCTGAATCCAGGATAGGGATTGGGAAACAGCGCGGTCAGGAAGGGAAGCACCTGGAGGGACAGGTTACAGGCTCCAGGCGGAGCAGTCCCCTGGTCACAGCACGGACTCAGTACCAATGCCTAGCGCACATGGGGCCCTCCAGGGCCTGCATCATGCTGTATAACTCTAAGTTGCAGGAGGCTCCCAGGGGCGGCGCCTCGCAGGCAGGGGCGGTGCCTCGCAGGCAGGGGCGGCGCCTCGCAGGCAGGGGCGGTGCCTCGCAGGCAGGGGCGGCGCCTCGCAGGCAGGGGCGGCGCCTCGCAGGCAGGGGCGGCGCCTCGCAGGCAGGGGCGGCGCCTCGCAGGCAGGGGCGGCGCCTCGCAGGCAGGGGCGGCGCCTCACAGGCAGGGGCGGCGCCTCGCAGGCAGGGGCGGCGCCTCGCACGCACGCAGGGGCGGCGCCTCGCACGCACGCAGGGGCGGCGCCTCGCACGCACGTAGGGGCGGCGCCTCGCACGCACGCAGGCCGGGGCGGTGCCTCGCACGCACGCAGGGGCGGTGCCTCGCACGCACGCCGGGGCGGTGCCTCGCACGCAGGCCGGGGCGGCGCCTCGCAGGGGCGGCGCCTCGCAGGGGCGGCGCCTCGCAGGGGCGGCGCCTCGCAGGGGCGGCGCCTCGCAGGGGCGGCGCCTCGCAGGGGCGGCGCCTCGCAGGGGCGGCGCCTCGCAGGGGCGGCGCCTCGCAGGGGCGGCGCCTCGCAGGGGCGGCGCCTCGCAGGGGCGGCGCCTCGCAGGGGCGGCGCCTCGCAGGGGCGGCGCCTCGCTGCAGCTTGAGAGTCTAGAGCTCTTCTGCTTCCTCGAAGCCCGAGCTGCCCCAAGGCGACTGTGAGGCCCAGCAAATTGGTGAGTGGGCGCCGGCAGTGGGGTCGTGTGGCCAGGGCACTAAGCACTCTAAGGGGCGGCGTGGGAAGAGTGATCCAGGGCTTCGGGGCTCTTCCGAGCCAGGGGCTGCACTGGGACTCGGGTCCTTAGGCTCCGCCCTGCATCGTCCTCTGGGGGTGGGGGCGCAGGGCACTGTGTGTGTGGGGAGGGAGCGCTGTTTCAGCTCAAGGCACTGTCCAGGGATGAGAGGGGTGGGCTGTCTCCGCGCAGGGCACTGTCCGGGGGTGAGGGGGGGCGTGTCCTCGCTCAGGGCACTGTCCTGGGGTGGGGCGCTGAGCCGCTGAGCTGCTGAGCTGCTGAGTTGGGAGGGCAGCCCTGGGCAGCTGAAAGCGGCTGCCCATGGCCGAGGGAGTCACCACATGTTCCGGGGACTGACCAGGTCCTCCGGGTCACCGTGATCATAGCTCTCGTCCTTTCATGATGACATTTTTAGTGAGTTCTGAGCCACATCTGATTGGAGATAAAGTATGTGGCTGCTTTGGCTCCTTGAGAATAGGTCACCCCTGGGCTTGGGCAGGCTCCTCGGGATCAGCACCATTCTGCTCCAACTAGAAGCCCCGAAGAGCTGTCCTGTCACAGCCCCATTGCCCCTGTCACTGGGGTGCAGTATGCTTGTGCAGACCTCAGGGTGTCCCCCCACTGGGGACCATTCATTTCAGATCCTCATGCCACATTTTCTGTTGCTTCGACTTTGTTCTTCAGATTCCATATATAAGTGAGGTCATATGGTATTTGTCTTTCTCTGACCGACATGTATCTGAGCATAATACCCTCTAGGTCCATCCATGTGGTGGCAAAAGGTTAAATTTCATTCCTATTTGTGGCTGAGTGATGTTCCATTGTATATAGAGCAGTATGGGTGTTAGTGGCTGGGATACAGCCTGTGTCCACGGCTTTTTATCTGCTCACTGCTCCATTCCACCTGTAAACAAGCAGCTCTCTATCTTAACTGATCAGCCGGGCTTTCTCTCCACTATCTCCTGCATCTGGCCTAGGCCAGTGTTCATTCACAGGGCGCAAGAAGCTTGGTTTACAGCCTCTAGTGTTTCAGAAGGAATAGCAAGTGCAAAGGCCCTGAGGCAGGAGTATATTACTGTGTTTCCAGGCTGCTCATGCACCAGGTGCCCAGATCGTGTGCCTCACTGGGCCCAGGTGGGCACTGCCAACAGTGAAGAGGCACTATACTAATATGCTCTCCATGGCCGTTCTCCAACCAGGGCCTCAGGTAGCTTCCTGGTGACGAGGTCTCGGAAGATAACCAGCTTTTAAATCCATAGTTCTATTCTGTGAGTGCTGACTGCTCAGGCAGAAAGCCACACCCATGACACTGCTGAGGGCGGTGGGCTAAGGCCCCACCACTGGTGTCCTACTTTCCTAGTGAGTGAAAAACAGGTCTTGAGTCCAACAATTTCTTACCACTTCTACCACCCTGTTCCAAGATACCATCATCTCTCATCAAGATGATTTCAGTAGCCTTCTAATTGGTCTTTCTGACTCCACCCTTGCCCTCATCATGTCTCTACCCTGTTTCCCCAAAAATAAGACAGCATCCTATATTTTTGCTCCCAAAGATGTGCTAGATCTTATTTTCAGGGGATGTCTTATTTTTCCATGCACTAGGTCTTATTTTCGGAGGATGTCTTATTTTCGGGGAAACACGGTAGCAGCCAGCCAGAGTGACCCTTATTAAATCAGTTGATGTCACCCCTCTGTTTAAACATATTGAAATGTGTTTCTCAAACTTCAAAATGCATGCACATTATTTGGAAGATTCTGATTCAGGAGATCTGAGGTGGGGCTTGAGATTCTGCATTTCCAAGAAGTTCCCAGGCAAGGCCTTTGCTGCAGGTCCATAAACTATGCTTTGAGTAGTAAGGTCCTACAAAGCCTTGCCTGATCTGGTTCCTGTTATTTCTACTTTCCCACTATTCCTTCTCCATCACTTACTCTCTCCAGCCACTGTGATCTTGCTACTCTTTAATAATATACTCCTGCCTCAGGGCCTTTGAACTTGCTGTTCCTCTGACTGAAACACTCTGCTTGGTATGTGCATGGCCTGCTCTCTCACCTCCTATGCTGCACTTTCTACCACCACTCCCCAACCTACTAATGCTTTTGCTTTTTCTCCTTACCTCCTATTACCTCCTGATATCTTATAGAATTTATCCTATCATCTGTTCTTCCTACCAGAATGTAAGTGCCATAAAAGCAGAGATTTTTATCTTGCTGTAAAACAAGGTCTGGCAGAGTAGGCACTCAATAAACACTTGAATGACTGCTTTAGCCATTAGGTAGACCATGAATCTGATATATGTTGATAGCTGGTGTGAAAAGAGCCAAACGAATACGACTCTAGACCTAGGGTTCTCAGAGGAGCAGGGTTGATATCAAGCAGAATGCCTGGAGCACAACAGACATAAAAATATTATATCCCCTGTGCTTTTCATACTTTCACGGAAGTTATTTGAAGTTTTGTCTCATTCTAAGGCTTTATATGTGACTACATAATGAACTAATGATGTCCAATATTCACTGTATCCTAGTATAAACTTATCTAGTCAGATATTTTGAAATCTGAAGTAATCTAAAAAGATAAAATATGCAGAGCTCTTGCTTTTCCTGGTCATGTATCCTACCATTAGCTGTCTTGATGAATGATAAGTTTAGAGATCAGAAAGTAAGGCTGGTGGAGACCATAAACCATGACCACAGAGGGAGAAGGGCTCTTGCTCAGAATTCTGACTATAATTTTGTAGGGGAGAATTGGTGGGAACCACTGAAATAATATTACAACTTATGTTTTTATGCTGCTTTAAACATGTTTTTCAAAATTTATCTGTATAATTTTGTTCCTATGCCATTACTCAGAGGCAAAGTAGCTACTATCAGTTGAGTAAACTGGAACACGTAAAGACGGTAAATGACTTATTCAAGATCCTATTAATAAGCCTACACTTCTCCTGACTTGTTTCCAATGCTGTGGTGATGCTTAAAGTATTTGTTGACCAAAAGATCTTTTGGAGAACAGAGGTTTGATGTGACAAGTAACTACAACCTACAGGAGATGAAGTCTAGAAATTTAAGAGTATACATATGGAGAAGTACAGAGATGGAAGGAATCATGAGTTGGTATGATTGATCTAGGCTGAAAACTGTCTTTTTCTCTCTTAGGATGCACCCATTGAAATCTCTTATATCTTTGAAGGACAGTCACTAATACACAGGTAATGAACATTTGGGGACTTATTTGAAATGGGTGGTAGATAAAGGTCATCATACCCCCGGAATCCAGGAGGCCCACAGCAACAGATAATTCATGTAAGGGTCACCTTTTTCATTTGGATGACCTACCCCATTAGTATGGACTGAAAGTAGGACACTGCCATTATTCTAGAAAACTGTTTTTGTTTGCTTTTTAGTGTCTTGTTTTTCAGAAATTATAAACTTGAGGATTAGTTGGAATAGGGTGGTGGCAAAGTGGGTTATGTCTATTGTTTTTATGAGAAAACTCACAATTAATGGGATTAACATATATAATAACCTCTTTTATTTGTATAGTAGCTCTTTTAAAGAATATATATAAGCTCAATAATTCTTTTATTGACTGGGCCTAAGGAATAGATACAGTCTTAGATCCCCACCCCTCCAAAGGTTTTTTTGCTCACTAGAAATGAAACAGAGTAAACAGGGAATCAATCTTTGACTCAGTGGTTTCTTTCATTTGAAAAAGCTTTTGGTGTATTTGTTTTTCTTCCTCTGCAGACCAGGAACGACTCGCTTTCGAGAAAATTGGGTGAAGGAAATGGTTGTGGCCAAACATAATATAATGAAGTCATTTCCCTTCTAATTTAGTTGTGTCTGACTCTTACAGAAAGTTTTATGATTGGTTTTCTAATCAGAATGTATTAAAAAACACCATATTGCACATCAAACCACAAAATATTTATTGGATAATAAACCGGTGACACACAATCCAACTGTATTTTTTTTTTTTGCATTCACTCACTTTCCATTTAGCAACTTCCATCATGCTAACAGAATAACCAGTAAGTAGTTTTTTTATTTTTTAAAAGATTTTTTCCATCACTACCTGCATCACTCAGAGTCTTACAAGTATAGAAGTTAAATTTAGAGAGTTGCTAAAATTCACCTGTCAGACCAACCGAGATTGGTACTTGACTGCCTATTCCCCCATTTGAGCTAAGTGTCCAGCCCAGACACAACTCTTTTTTGTTAATCTAAACCCAAGGATATTTTTCGAGAGAGTGGAGGGAGGGACTGAAGGAGAGAGGGAGAGGGAGGGAGGGAGGGAGGGAGGGAGGGAGAGAGAGAGAGAGAGAGGAGAGAGAGAGAGAGAGAGAGAGAGAGAGAGAGAGAGAGAGAGAGAGAGAGAGAGAGGGGGGAGGGGGGAGGGAGGGGGGGAGGGAACACGAACGAGAACCCAGGTACTTGCCCTTGACCAGGAATCGAATACACCTTTTGGTACACAGGCCGATGCTCTAACCCCTGGAGCTACACTTGCCAGGGCCAGATACATCTCTTTATGGGCACAATGGGCAACAGAAAAACGGCAAGTTCTACGGCTCATCCTATAACCAGTCTGAAGGGTTTCTCTACTCACAGACCCCTTCATTTAATGCGAGTGAAGCATCATTGTTAAACACATTCTGAAATTCTAAAACTGGGCATTCACAACACAGCACTGAAATTATGGTAGCAGGGTTGCTCCACGAATTGGGACAATGAAACATGGCTCAGTCTCCACTCTCACTTATTTGTCCTTCCCATCCTCACACCAGATTATTACTTGTTCCTACCATACCTATGATCTCTTTCCTGGCCACAAAATTTTTAAAACACCAAAGACAAGTTACATTACAAGTGATTACTTATAGGTACATCAGAATACATATTTACATAGACAAGCAATGGAAGTAAACAGAACCCTACAGACAATTGATGTGGTAAGACTGTGAGTAATTTTTCTTCTTTAACTCTTACATTTGTACAATAAATAAAAAAGGAGGGAAAATCTTAGAGCAACAGGGGAGGAGGTGGGAAACTAGATAAGTCTTCCTTGGAGAAAAAAAAAAATATTTCAAATAAAAAAGCCTGCCTATTAGACTTATGGATCAGGTGACTAAACACAGTTTGAAGCAGTAACTCTTATGAGCTATTAATAAAAAGAAAATACTTTTAGATTTTTATTCTTCCCTACCCTTTCCCAGAAAATATGCTACCGAAGCTATTCTTGGCACATCTTTCCTGAACAAACCCTGATGAAAGAAATGGTAAAGTTTTGAAATAAATTAACATTTTTTCCATTTACTCAACAAGCATTTGTTGGAGGAGGCAGAACACAATGAAAATGCACAGTATTCATATATTACAAAATTGTTGCATTTGAATTATCTTGCCTACTGAAAATAAGAGAACTCACTCAGTTTTTAGAAGCCAGTAATAAAAAATAATGTTCTCAGAGAACAAAAATTTTAAATGGGGATTATAAGTTTAGGTTTTATTATACAGGGAAGTAGATAGATTAGGACTCCCAAATTTGGGATCTAGTTTCCTTTTAACTTTTGGGAAAAACAGATTTTTTAGACTAGACAGCAATGATGATAAATATAAATAACTTCAAATTCAGGGGTCATAAATGTTGCTACATATCAAGTGGCTGTTTAGTTCATTAGTTATGGGTTAAAGGTAGACATTTTCCTAAAACATGATAAATAGTAAAGCTTCTGATCTATGCTCTGAAATCTGCCTTAAAAAAAAAAGGAAAAAAAGAAAAGAAAAAGAAATTTGACTGCCTTATTTGAAAACTTTGAAAAAAAAAATACTTTAAACTATTCTAAGGGGAGAGGAGAGGGCATTTTATAACAGCAGAGTCAGAATTTCCTTACCATCCAGGTAATTTAAATTTATCCTAGGCACATAACAATGCAGGTCAAAACAATAAACAAAAACAACGTGAGCTTCCACTGTGCCCTCCCCCTTCACCATTGTGACCTAATGACTAAAACTGAACAAAATAGGAAGAAAAAAGATTGTAATCTCACAGTCCCAGAATTTTCCATTTCTCCAAAATATACTAGTTAAAGTAAATAGTAGCCATAAAAAACTGATAAATTGAGGGGGTTCTATATAAAATTAAAGATTAAACTGCATGACTGATGTAAAAAAATAAACTGAAAGGTTTATGTAAAGACAAAAAATTACATAAAGGACAGGCAAAAATGTTTAATATAATTTTAGCTTCATCCTTATAAAACAACTAAGTAATAATATTTATATTTTTCCGTATACTAAATGCCTGATCACAGTTGACTCTCATTCATTTCTAGTATTCAAATTATGATCCAAATACACCTTAGATGAAAATAATGTACTTACATTGGCACAACAATAGACTTCTCAATACCGTATTTTTCGGACCATAAGACGCACTTTTTTCCCCCCAAAAGTGGGGGGGAAAATGTCCCTGCGTCTTATGGTCCAAATATAGCCTACACATATACTTTAAAAAAAAAGTTTTTTTACTTGCCCGGCTCTGTGTGGTCTCTGTGTGCTTGCCCGGCTCTAAAATGGTTCTAAATGCTGCTGTTTACTTTACAGGGTTGATTACATGTGTTTATGACTGTGATGTTGGGTTTTAATGCACATAAAATATTTTAGGACACTATTTGTTTCAGAATCCTTTTTTCTTCATTTCCCTTCTCTAAAAACTGGTGCGTCTTATGGTCCGGTGCGTCTTATGGTCCGAAAAATACGGTATTTTATATTTGGAAAACACAACCTGTTAAGAATTTTTAAAACTAATGTTCACATTTTCATTTTATTATGTCTGTGGGTTAGTTTGCTTTTGGATTTGTTTGTGGGTTTTACTAAAATCAAAATACATTGTGTTCCAGGCAGATTATATATTGTACAATAGAGTCAATCTTCAAATTCTAGATTTGCTTTTAAAAATTTTGTTAACAAAACTGGCCTCCTGTGTGTTTCTATTAATCCATTTATAACACTTTCAACATAGAGGAATAATAATTTCCCACTAGTTCACTTGGGGCAGGGGTGAGCGTCATGTAGAGCTAAGAGTAGCACTGTACCATGGTGTGAGACAGTGAAACTTATTTTTCATCTCACTGACATCTTTTCTCAATGTCACCTCCCCAAATATAGTAGGATTTCATTCACAATTTGGATTTTTCAATCAGGAAGTTTTAATCCAAAATATTCCAAAGTTTTATCAATAAGCAGCTTTTTATTGAAGGACTGAACGAATTAAATAGAAGGCACAGTAGCACTGTAAAGCTTTCCAGATCATAATAAACTTTTTGTATGTATGTATGGAACCCAGACTTTTTGTTGAAAGTGTCTGCTGAACAACCTGAAAACCCTTATTTGTCATCTTTCCCTTTAGTTTTTCTGTATACCATCTCTCGAAAACTGGCCAGAATCTTGTTTTCTCTCTTTCGTCTCTCTTCTTGGTTAAAGGATGCAAGAGCTCTCTTCTCATCAGCACTGTAGATCTGGTTCTCTTTCCGTAGTCGCACAGCCTCCATTCGGCGATGCCTGGAGATAATTTCATTTTTGGTTTAATTTCTTAGTAATTATTCTCATAGTTATTCTCATCATTCCTCATTAATCCTTTCTTTCTTTTAAAATGTATTTTTATTTCAGAGAGGAAGTGCCCTTACCAGAATTAAACTGTGACCTCCTTGTTCACAGGTCGACACTCAACCACTGAGCCACACTGGCCAGGCACTAATCCTTTCTTAATACAGAGTGGTTTACTTAAAAATATGACAAATAGAAACTGTTTTTGTAATGGGTTATATTTTCTAAAGATCATTAATTTTATCTGCCGTGTCCTTTGATTTATTTCTAGTATTCAATTAATGGTCTCTGACGACCTGTCAACATTGTGAATGTCATTAATTTCAAATATGAATGTCATTAATTTCAAATTTCAAAAACAGCAGAACCAGGCATAAGTCTGGTTCTGCTGTTCCCAGTAAAACAACCAGTGCTGGGGCTGACCAGCAGACCTTGAGCGATGGATGAGCAGATTGCTTTGACACACGTTTCTGTGAAAGAGAGGCTAAGGAATTAGTTTGCTTTGGGAGCAAACAGCCCTGTTCACCTGCCTCCTTTGGCTTTTATTGTAACGACAGCTTGAACTAAATTAACTATTAGATACTATTAGTAGGGTAAACATCCTTGAGAAAGCACATGCCTTCTTTAAGCAAGGACATGTCTAAGTAAACACCTCCTGGGGCTCAGACTTGTTTGGGAAAGTCAACACAGGGGTTGCCGCCTTTGGCAAGGTCCCCCAGAGGCCTCCGACCTTTCAGAGAATCCTCCTTACAGACCTTCCAACCAAGCCCCATGCTTCCCCACAAACCAGAAACAGGCAAATTATATTAAACTTCCTATGTGATATGTGGGATTTGCTTTTGTGGAATTAATAGGATAGATGAAAAATATAAGCTGTCATCAATTAGGTGGAACTTCTTCAAGGTTCAAATTTAGCATAGAACCAAAAAACCCAAATCTAAATCTACAATTGAATTTAACTCCTTTAGCAGCTAAAAAATAAATAAATAAAGAAGGGATTTAGCACAAGATACAAATCAGGAAAGTAGAGAGGCAGGGGCAAAGGGAAACTATTATATCTTCAAAAGGTTGTTTATTTAGAAGGAAACCTTCATGAAAGCCTGCCTCAAATATATATATGTGTGTGTATATATATCACACACACACACACACACACACACACAAACACACACACCCAATCCTATACGGTCAGTTCAAGATGAAGATTGAACTTTCTAGAAAAATAGAGAAAACTGAGTGAGAAGAGGGGAAATCATTTCAGATTAGCGTGAAAATGAGGGGAGTGGCAGGATGGAGAGTCAAGGAGATGACAATGTATTTAGGTTGCTCTGGATACAGTGAGTAGTTTAACT